GGGGAAAGGGGAGAGGGAAGGGAGGGGAGAAGGGAGGGTGGGTGTAGGGAGAGTAATTGGTGGGACCACACCTACAGTGCATCTTACAAGGGTACGTGTGACATTTACTAGGTGTAGAATATAAATGTCTTAACATAATAACTAAGAACATGCTGTGAAGGCTATGTTAACCAATTTGACGAAAATATTTCACATTGTATATAAAACCAGCACATCGTACCCTATGATTGCATTAATGTACACAGCTATAATTTAATTTAAAAAAAGAAGAACAAGAGTACACAGGTAATGCTACATAGTTCTTCTTATAGCAGAGACAGAGGGAGATGGCAGACTGACAATTTTTGGTAATTGTATGTTTAGTCCCTTGATTAAGGGAGTGACCTTTTGTAAAACATTTCTTCTTTCATATTAATAAGTAATATACATGGTAATACTTTGAAGACATAGTATCCCTCACTCAGCGGTTTTGGCATTTCTTGCTAATCCTTTGAAGAAAGGCTAACACACTGGGCTTCAAGAAGAGTGATTGCCTAATTGTCATTCCTTCCTCATGTATCAGCTGGCCTCTGTCTGTAGAGAAAAGTGCTCCATTGGAAGGAGGGTGGCAGGTGGATACAGGGCAGGATACTCCAGAGTGAGCAGAAGCACAGCTCAGAGGAAGGCAAGCCTGGGTATGAGAAGAGGAGTGCTAGGGCCAGAGCACAGGTCAGTCCGGACTGTAAGAGCAGCAGGGAGAAGGACTAGGTGGCAAAAGGCACTGATAGAAGAGGAGAAGACAGGACACCACCCTTATCTTCAAACCAGGCAGATTTCCTAAACCCCCATCTGAGCCCAAATCCACATTCCACCTCCGGTAGCCATCTCTCAGGACTGTATGTGTCCTGAGTAATGCCTTTTTTGTATTAAGTCATATAACATAGATCATAAATACATTTATGCACATGTGGGGTACAATGTGTTGATTTTTTTATACAATCAACATAGCTTTTGCCTCATTTACTTGATTATTGTGTTAAGACATTTATGTTCTACACTTGACAGATTTGACTGGTACCCTTGAAATATGCTCCACAGGTGTGGTCCCACGTTTTACCCTCCCTTTATCAAACTCCCCCCTCCCCTCCCTTCCCACTCCATTTCTTTCCTTCATCTTGGGCTATAGTTGTGTTCTATCTTTCATAAGAAAGTGTGAGTAAATATAAGTTGGTTTCATAAAAGTACTGAGTACATTGGATACTTTTTCCTTCATTCTTAAGCCATGTGGTCCATGGCCCAGCAACACTGGCATCACCAGGAAATGTAAATCACTAGAAATGTAAAAGCTAAGGACCTCTCCCAGACCTTGAGTCAGGGTCTGCATTTTAATGAGAACCTCAGGTGATGGTAAATCCTTTCAAGTGGGAGAAGCACTGCTTTAAGCCACTCTGGTCCATTTCCCACTTTTGCAAACCATGCCAAACCAGGTACTCCGAGAAGATAATAATCTTCCCCCTGGGGATTTTCCATGACCTGTATTCTCTTTTCCATTGAGTTTCAGGAGAACTTACTGCTAAGCTTCATCTTGCCCTGATCTAAAGAGGCAATGTAGTGTGGCTTTGAAGACATTGCCTTCAAAGTCAACTCAGCTGAGTTTGAATTCCTTCTGTGCTATCTATTCACTGCCTATGGGACCTTCTATTACATAATGCAGTCACTTCTCTAAATCTTAGTCAAGCCTTCTTCTTGGGTTCAAGGCAGTGCCCCAAATAGCAACCACTTTCAAGTACTTGTGAACACTTTATATAAATATCTTATTATGTTTGGAACAATTCAGTGGAAAGATCGATTATTAGCCTCTTATCACAGTGATTAAAGGAGGGAAGAAAACAGTCCTAGGCAGGGAAGATGATTGGGATGGGGGTCATTTCACCTGGGGACAAACAGGTTAAACATGACACCTGTGCCCTCCATACCTGGAAATAACTTTATTATTATTGTAATACTCTCAGACATCCACAGAGACTACAGAAAAATAAAAAAGAGGAAGTACGCTTAAGGAAGTGTAACTGGTTGGTAACCATGGAGATGAAATTTCCTCAGCTACTAAATGGAGCTGAGAATGTTTGTATCATTTGTTTAGATCTGTGTCCAGCCCAGCCACTACCATATTCAAGGCCAAGTTACTGACCAAGATGGTTCACACTTCCCCAGCCATGACCCAGATCCCCATTCACACTTCCCCAGCATGACCCAGATCCCCAGACAAGATCTGGGGGAGAATTCTAGGGCTGGGGGACACCTACCAAAAAGAGGTTGATGGACAACACTGAGTGTAATGCGTGGGGCATAACAGCCCCCAGCAAAATTTACCAGTCATCACCTGTTTAGACCCTGAATTCCACTTCCAAATTCAAGGACTGCTTCAGGGAGTAGAGAGGAAAGAGGAATGAGCTTTTCTATCCTTGGTTTCTGAAGACAGCATCTCTACTACGCAGTGAAAAGCACACTGGAGAATGTCAGACCAGGATCTACTACTGACCCACAAGTGGGCCTCAGTTTCTTCCTCTATAAAATTAGATTGCTGGACTGAAAGATGTCTACATTCCCCCTCTAAGTTTGATTCTGAAATCTTGACTACCATGCGTGGCTAAGGGAAGCTGTAAAGACCTCGTCCCAAGAGCTCTTCTCGTTAGGAATAGTCACATTTCTGTCTCGGGTGGCCTAGGTGAAGCCTTAACCAACAGGATTCCTTTCTGTACTGAGATGCTTTGCTTTTGAGATCCTCTGTCTGCAGTTAGAAAACAAAAAAAGCACTCAGGTGACAGAAGAGAGGCCTCCCTGAGCCCCTGTACATAACTCCTCCTCCCTGATATTAGCTCTGGCAGCCTCACTGCCTAGTCCAGGAGCTTCGGTATCACCTGGGAGCTTGTCAGAAATACAGAATGTCAAGCTCTCCCCAAACCTGCTGAATTATAACTGATTTTAACAAGGTCCCTGGGTGAATCACAGGCACACTGAAGTTTGAGAAACTCTCCCTAAGGCACTCTGATTCTTTTCCTTCATAGCTCTTGCCACATTTGCAATTCTAATTATATATTCATTTGAAATTCTCTAATGACTCCCTTCATGACTAAATGGTAACATCCAGGGGATGGCTTACAATAGCCACCATAATGTCCACCGCAGGCCAGGTGCCCATGGGCGGTGTGCTGAACCAACAATTCTGTAGTAGTTCCCGGCTGCTGGTGGCCTCTGGCATGATGGCTCCACTGGTTCTGCTATTCTAGCATTCCTCTCTCTGTCCTCAGATGAATTCCTGGACAGCTGATGAATTCAACAATCTCAGGATAGGTATTACTACCACATTTAAATGTAGATATTTTTCTTTGAGCATTTGTATATCACACTCCTCAACAATCATGCCTGAGAGTCAATGAGTTGTTTATTACATTTTGAACTGTTTGTTGTCTCACAGAAGCAACACAAGGGGGAATTTTGTGATGTCAGATTTTCCTATGATCTACGTGCGTAACTGCGAGACCACAAATGTACAGCATTGTTCATTAGGTTAAGAGCTTTCAGCTAAGGCAATACAGTTGCGGAATATTACAACAGAGAGGGAAAGACCTTCCCGGCCGAGTTCTCTTCCCTTCCCATGAGAAGCTGAGGTCCACATGTTGAAACTGACTTCTTTCAGCTCCAGATGGGCGCACTGCCACAGCTTTGCCTTCAGGAGACTTTCTGGACTCATTACCACCCACTTGGGCTAGAGAAGAAGAGGTCGTTTTGTTAGATAGCAAACCATCAGGGGAGGGTAAAGAACAGAGCTCCATTTATATGTTAGAATACAAGGGGATCTCCGGATGGTTCTAGGTGTTCGCGCCTCGAAACTAAAATGTGGTCAGCTGCTAATTTCTTGCTTGGGTAAAGGCTGGGAATGTGTTTTTACCCATGTAAATGGTCATCTCTCTACATCGTTAATAGTATTTCAATTCAATGCTCCAACCTGAGCAGGTTGAAAGATGAATAAGATACTTCAATAAGATTGGCAGGGCACCTAAGGCGTGTCTCCATGGCTGAGGTGGGAGAGAGGGGAGGAGTGATAAGGGCGGGAAAGTTAGTTTCAGAGGAATTTATTAGAGGAGAATGATGTCCCCTCCACTTTTACTGACTCCTTGCTAAGAGCACCCAAACTGCACCTTCCATTGTTCACCTTCAACATCCTAGCCCGGGATTCTCTCCTTTAGAAGACAATGTTTCTATCAACCTTTTATTTATTTGTGTAAATATTGGCATGTATATTTATGTTTATTAAATTATAAATAATATATGATGTAAATTTATACATACATAACATGCATTTTGTATGTATTTATGTTACAAATTTATAAATATTTGCATACTATGTTTAAATGTAAACGTGTAATAAACCCGTGAGGGCAGGGATTCAATTTGATTATTTATGGTATTCTCACAATGCCTGGCATATAAGCAATTCAGAATTTCCAACCACAGGAGAGATAAAGATACTCCTTTCCAGGTGTGTTTATAATATACTTTCATACTTCACACAAACATGGAAAAAATAAACCACATGTACTTCTATACTATACTTGATTATTCTTATGTTGACCAAAGGAAAAAAAAAAGCACCTTAGGAGAGGGAAAAAGCACCAGACCAGACTGGGAATTCCAAGTCCCAACTGTGGTCCCTGAGCTGCCGTGAATTTACTGTTTGGCCTCAGCCAAGTGACCTTATCTCACTCAACGCCATGTCTCCAGCCCGTGAAATGGGAATGGAAATCTTCATCTCCCTTTCTAGCAGGCAGGTTGTCGAGCATATGGATAGGAAGCCCACTGGAAACCAAGTCAGTGAATTAATTTTTAAAACTTAAGAGTCCAGTGGAGAGCCAATTGTAATTGCACAGTACTTTGAGAACAACCAAAATGGAAAAGAAAAAGTGAACTGTTCCAACTGAATATCACCTCATGCTGCCTTTTCTTTTCTTCTCTTCTAGGACTCCATTCCCAAGACATTTGTCAGCGACCCCATTAAAGGAGGTAAGATCTTGGAATCAGGAGTAAATGTGTGTGAACCATCTGGTGACACTATGAGGTCTGCTGCCTGACTGTCATCCAGAAACAGTGTATGACCCAGTGGTCTAGTATATGGGTTTGGAGGTGAGAGCTGCTCACGTCTGAGGTGATGCATCAGGAATCTTCTGAGTAGTCCCTGACCAATACTTTCATGCCCACACATCTCCCACCAGCCCTGGACACGCCCACTAATGAAAATTCTGCCTCTGGCATAGGCTGTCTCGTGGATAAGAACACAAGGCAGCAGTGTGTTAAGAGCCTGAAACCTGACATCAGGCAAATGGGGGTACAAATCTTGACTCTGCTTCCTCTCTGGGAGTCTCAGCTCCTTATCTGCTAATTGGGAGTAATAATACCCACCTCATGGAGGTATTGGAAAAGCCAGACCTCATCTATAAATTGCTTAATATAGCAACCAATTGGCTTGGCACTTGTAGCTCAAGTGGCTAGGGCGCCAGCCACATACACAGGAACTGGTGGGTTTGAATCCAGTCTGGGCCCGCCAAACAACAATGATGGTAACTACAACAACAACAACAACAAAAATAGCTGGGTGTTGTGGTGGACACCTGTAGTCCCAGCTCTGGGAGGCTGAGGCAAGAGAATCACTTAAGCCCAAGAGTTGAAGGTTGCTGTGGGCTGTGATGCCACAGCACTCTACCCAGCATGAAAGCTTGAGACTCTGTCTCCAAAAAAATGACAACCAGTACATAGTAACTAGTAGTAGCCAATTGCATACTGTTGAAAACAGACATCCTCCTTAGTCTGTATACTTCCAGTCATTGACATCACTAATGAACATGTTGTCTCTACCAGCTCCAGAAGGATGGTGTGCAAAGTTCCACTAACACTGAGGATGAGAAAATATGAGCTTATCTAATTAATGTCTTCCTTGATCAAAGGAGGAAAAGTGAGACCCAGAGGAAAAGTAAGGTGTCTTGTCCATGGTCACCCAGAGCCACGCGTAGAACCCAGTTGTCCTCATTCTAGTGCAATGTCTTTTCCACCCCAAAACATCGACCCTGTAAGCCTTTAGAATATAAACAGCAAGTGCAGCTGGATAAGCAAACAGCCAGCCCAGAGAAAGAAGTAAAAAATGGGTTAGCCGAGGCACCAGGGTAGGAACACGAGGGCATCCTTGGGACCAGAGGATGCACAGGACTGGGCACAGCTCCTTACGCCAGCAGCATCACACTTGGAATTTCCTTCAAGTCACCCTTGACCAGGCCCTTCCTGTGGTCTGTCACTCAGACACTTAGGAGATGGGAGCAAAAGGCCCCAAGATTCTGGATCTTTCAAGGCAGATTCATAATCACAACTTTGTCAACAATATGTCGATCTTGGCTAGAATTACGTAGCGTCTGATCTCAATTCCCAAAATGCCTGTGTAGACAGTCACATGAATGTAAACAGGAGCATAGTATAAAGCAAAAGTCGGCAAACATTTTCTCTAAAGGGCCAGATGGTAACTATTTTAGGCTTTGTGGGGCACAGAGTCCCTGTTGCAGCTATCGGCTCTGCTGCCGTGTTGCTGAAGCAGCCAGACTGTGGGCAAATGAGTAGGCATGGCTGCGTTTCCTTGAAACTTTGTGAATGGAATGAGGTGAGGGGCTGAGTTGGGCTCACAAAACTTTGTGAATGGAATGAGGTGAGGGGCTGAGTTGGGCTCACAAAACTTTGTGAATGGAATGAGGTGAGGGGCTGAGTTGGGCTCACAAACGGGGGTTTGCTGAACCCTGTAGTCACTACGGGATTTGAAATCAAATGGTCGAGTTAAACATGAACACAGCTTCTCACGTAACACATGTCGCAAAAATTATTGACCTGAGTAAATATAACTTTTCCCTCCCCACTAGCACCATTCTTTTACTGTCTTCACCCAGATTTTCCAAGAGAGCCTGGAACTTTTGATTTTTGACAGAGGGAGGCCATCTTCACCATGAACACACTGTCAGTGACAGGGAGAGTTTTCACTCTGTTTTGGGACCTCAGCCTTTCTGGAGCTCATTTCTCACCAGACCCACGGTGAAGCGCTTCAGTCTCAGGCTGCCAAGCTTCCTAGCTCTGGTTCCAGAATAAATTTTCATCATTCCAGAGTGAATCAGAAAAAAAGGGCAAAGTAGCCCTCTTTTCACATGACTACGCCTGTGTAGGTGGCACTCTGCCTCTGAACACTCCTTTGTCCACGTTGGAGCACTAAAATGTCCTTTCTTTTACAACATAAAGTTGATGGAGATGGAATTAAGTTGGTTTGCTTTTTGCCAGAGTTATTTTGTTTTGTCTTACTGATCACTACAGGCAAAATAAAAAGTCATCTACTCCTTATTGGTCCCTGAATTTTCATTTGGGGGAAAGATTTTTTGATCTTTCAAGATCTTTATCTTTCTTTTGATAAAGTTTAAAATTGGGGGAACCATGGACCAGATCACTCATCATCTCCCCTCTTATCCGGGGTATTCCATAACTGGGAGGAGCAGACTACAAACTAATTCAAAACTAACTTCAGGTGACAATTCAATGTTTCTACAACTCGATTTTTTTAAATATGTTAATAACAATTCCTCCTAGGGCTATGAAACTTTGTTAAACATCTTTCCATACCTCCTCTGGGTTCAGCTTAGCCTCAAGCTGAATTATAGGCACACAACAGCAAGGTGGGGGTTCGTATTCCCATTTCACAGATGTGGGGCTGAGGCCCAAGGAATCAGGGTGACCTGCCTAAGATCACATGAGGAATCTGTGGCCTAGTGAGAGTCAGGACTCCTCCCCGTGCTCCTGCATGCTGCGCTTTGGCTCTGAGATGCTAGTGACTAGCTGGATGTGGTTGCTAACTTTCTCCTCTTTTTCATGCAAGTTGGTACTTCCCTTAACTCAGCAAACCACAGATAGTATAGTAGGGTGAGGTGGAAAAATTGTTCCCAGGCCCCAGAACTGACCTCCCCTCCAGCAGGCCGCGTTTATCTGGGCAAGTATTTCCTTGTCACAGGTCTCATTTGTAACCTTAACAGCAGTGTACTAAGTGAACTGAAGGCCCCTGCCAGCTTTGACACTTGATGAGACTAATTCTCTTGTGCAGTATGTGAAGGTAGAAGAAAAAAGCCCAGTGACAATCTTGAGGAAATCTGAAGCCACAGCTTCTTTCCCCAATATGTGCATCTTTATGTAAAATTATTTTTTGTACAGCGAGGGGTCTCACTATGTTGTCCAGGTTGGTCTTAAACTCCTGGCCTCAAGTGATTCTCCTGTCTCAGCCTCCCAAGTAGCTGGGACTATACAGGTGCACAACACCACACCCAGCTATTTTTTCTTATTTTCGTAAAGACGTGTCTCCCTGCATTGGCCAGGCCAGTCTTAAATCCTGGCCTCAAGAAAGGCTCCTGCCTCAGCCTCCCAAAGTGCTGGGATTATAGGTGTGAGCCACGGCACCAGGCCAACAAGCCCATCTTAGGCACAAGAGTGGCACACTGGCCATTTTGAACAAAGCCATTGGAAGACATTCCGGGCAGAGGAGAACCAATTTCCAGAAACTCCTAGGAGGAAGCTCCAAGGGCAGCGGATGGTTTGTCACTAGGAAGGGGAGAAGAGGAAGCCAGACACTTTTCAGGGGGGCCTCTGCCACTTGCTATTGAAAATCTTCCACATCAGCAGGGAAGTAGCAAAGGCCTGGAGCCTGGGATGTGAGGCCACATGCACACACCACAGTAGCAGCACAGGAGTCACCTGGCTGCAGGGAAACCACAGGAAACCTGGCCGGTTTTGGTAGTGAAAGGATTTCTGAATCCTTGTACATAAGCCTCTCATTTCCATTCAGACTGGCCCCCAGCCGCCTTGCCCCCACTCCTCTGTGCTCAACATTCAGGGGGCCATTCCAGGGGTCCACTTCCCTTCCCACATCCCCTCACAAAATCTACAGAAATTCAAATTTTACTGATTTTGTTTTGCAGCATGATTTTGGTCCTCTGGTCCCCAGAACTTCTCATTGTCCTCTGGACCTTTTTATAACAAAACACCCCACCAAATGGCCATCCTTACCTCCACTAAAAGAATCCTGTAGATAGAAGTTACAGGCATAGAGGGGTTTACTGACTTGCCTAAGATTTCACAGCTGGTAAGAAGTGAGGTGAACCCACCTTGGAGCCCTCACACATAAGGGGATCGTGCCTGTGGAATATTTAGTAAAGCTCAGGGCTGTGACTACTTCTCCTGCCCCACCTACTGTCAGTGTCTGGGACTCTTCCAACACCCTTCATCTCTTGCTCAGCACCTACACGCCCAGCTGTCTGCTTTCATGTCTTAGAAACGTACTCTCTCTTTTTGACCTCTGGGGCAGAGGGGGCTGTGGCGGGGGGGAACCTCAGCACAACAAGGGACCTAGAGGCTGAATTGAAGCCCTCATTTTTGCAACCCAAGGGTTATGTGACTTTAAGGAAGTTGGAACAGTGCCAGACCACCTGCGGGTCCTGATAACCCCTCCGCACATCCCACAACCTCCCTGAATTCAGTCTTCAGCTGCAGACTGGGTACCAAAGGCAGGGCACTAGACCAGAATTTAGGGTAGCAACAGTCCAGTTCTGGCACTTGAAGCACTCATTTTTCCTTGGGTTTTCTGTTTCAAAAATGTCAGAAATGAGGGGGATTTTGCTTTTAGTATAAAGTTTCATGAATCAAACAAATATCTTAGGATTCCTTGACCACTTTATCTTCCTAAGATTTGCAATCTTTACAAGGTTTGGCAGGCTACCCTCCCCACCTCCCACATCCACCTGCTGCTGCCAAAAAGAAAATGTGGTATTAAAGACCAGGTAAGGTGATCTCTAAGATTTCACCTAGGGAAGCCATCCCAAAGAAACACTAATAAGAGCTTCCCATTGAAGTTCCTAAAACTAGGCCAAGGAGACTGGGTCCTATGGCCACAGTCCAGATGGCTGTAGCCCCATGGGGGCACGGTTACCTCACTGCTGCCT